GGATTGAACCGCGGTCCTTGTGCTTTGCCAAGCTTGTTCCAAGTAGGTGCTTTAGACCACTGAGCCATCTCTCCAGACCCTGGACTTTAGCATTGTTAGCTTCATTTTTTTCTTTCTAGAATATCCTTAAGAATCTTTTGGAGGGCTGTTGGGCAGTCATGAATTTCTTTCAGTTCTCTTTATCACATAAGTATCTTATTTCTCTATCAATTTTGAGAGATAATTTTGCAGGAGATATCAGTCTGGGTTGGAAGTTGTTTTCTTTTAGGGTTTAAAACACTTCCCTACAAGATCTCCTTAGAGTTTCTTTAGGGTTCCTTTAAGGTTAGTATTGAGAAGTCTGCATTTTTATTCATAAGTGATCTGGTGCTTTTCTATAACTGTGGGGGACCTGCATAGGAGTAAATCATTAAACTAAAGGCACATAGATTCTATGAGAAGCAAATGGCTAAATTATGGGGCAAAAGCACACAAACAATTAAACTGCAGGCAGAAAGCATGCAGGCTCTATGAGAAGTAAATAATTAAACTGTGGAGCAAAAGGCTCATAGGTGAGGGGGTGAATGGTTAAACTACAGGGCAAAAACACACAGACCGTATGAGAATTAAATGATTAAACAACTAAAGTTTTTTTTATTCTAACAAAAAATTTAGAAGAAGTGAAGCATGTTGTATCTAGTAGTTGTCTTTTTCTTTTCCCCCAGAAAAAAAGCTTAGCCATGCAACAGCTCCAGTCAAAATTGCTTTTTACCCTGTTTTTTTTTCTCTTACACTAATAGAATAAATAAAAACCAGAGGGTTCTTGGCTTCATGGCTTTTTTCTTCTCCATAGTCTCCCTAGTGGCTTTCAGTTGCCAATTAGGCCCTCTGGGTCTCTTGGAGATGAAACTGAATCTCTGAGTAATCTTTGTCATCCTCTGCATGGCCCACAGGCACTCTCTGTGATATCTAAGAGCTTTAAAGAGTCTGTCCTTGGGTTGGATTTGTTGTATTTTAACCACGATGTGTTTTGGAGTGTTTCTTTTTATTTCCAATCATGGTCACTTGAGGTTCTTTATCCCTCATTTATCTGATTGTTAAATCTTTTCCATATTTGGTAAGTTTTTTTGCTATTCTGTAAACAGGCTTTTTTTTTTCAAAGGTATACCAAAAAATTTAATAAGTACATGAAGGCAACAGAGTTCATTAAGGAAAAATGTGAATATATAATTTTATTTGAATGGCATGTTTTGAGAGTGTTAAAAATGACCTCTCATTTTCAGTTTCAACCACCAGTAAAGGCCACATGATTCCAAAAGGGATTCTATACTAAATTTACACAAATATTTCAAAGAGATTGTGAAGCTATTGATTTCCTCAGTTACTTTGAGATTACAAGAAAGTCATGGACAAAAAAGGCAGACTATATGGAAACAAAATATCAGTTAGATCTCCATTCTTCACCACTACTTCATTTTATATATTTGGTACAGGGCAAACAGGCTTTTTAAATGTCCTTTGTGCTGTCCTCTGATTTTTCAATTAATATTAGTCTTTTTTGCATAACTTAGCAGCTGCTTGATACATTTCTTTTCATGATCTCATTATTTTTAAAGCATTTCTCATTAATTGATCACAGTCCTAGCTTTTACATCTGACACTCTGTCCTCACATTCATCATTCATACTTTTAATAGGATTTTTAATCTCCTGAATTTTTTTTAGATAGGCTCTCACTCTGTATTCACTCTGGCCTCAAAATCACTTTGTACCCCAGGCTGGCCTCAAACTCACAGCAATCCTCCTGCCACAACCTCCTGAATGCTGGGATCACAGAAGTATGCTACCTCTCCTGGATAATCTCCTTGATTTCTGTTTGGAACTTTTTTAAAAATATATTTGTTACAGGGAGTCACTATTCAGCTTGGGCTCATAGTGATCCTCCTGTTTCAGCCTCCCCAGCACTGGCATTACAAGCATGTGCTACCACACCTGGTCTTGGTAGCTGGCTCAGTGCATCCAGGGCGGGGCTGGCACAGGCATGTGGTATGAGGGATTGAACACCAGTCCTTGTGTTTGCCTAGACAGGCACTTAGACTGCTGCACTATCTCCATGGTCCTGTTTGGAACTTTTTAATGCACTCCAATTTTTTTCTGTGCTAGGCTTTCATGCTTTGCATCTTTTTCTTTAGCTCACCTAGTTTCTTATTAGTATCTTTTCTAGATCCTCTGATCATTTATTTCTTTTTCTTTTCATTTTAAACAAGAAGCTTATTCAAACAAGAAATTTGACTTAAAGGAAAAACTATCTAGGATTCTTTTTTAAAGAGTAATTTACTCCTACTTAAAGACAGATTGCCCTACATGTAACAGCTTTGCACAAAAAAAGTTATAAAACTCTCTTTGGTTTTACAATGATAAATGAAAAACATTAAAATTCTCCAAACAAGGTATGCAAGGAATTTTATGTTGCTGTCTTTTCTGTTAAAACAGTGAGAGCAAAATAAGTAAATAAATAATCCTTCCCTAAAATACCAAAAAAAAAAAAAAAAGTGAGAGCAAAATAACTTACTGGAATATAAAGATAAGAGCTGATAAGCATGCCACTAATGAAGAAAGGGAATTACCTTCACAGAATCAGTAATTCCCCATCCCATTTGATGTCAATTAAAACATTTTTGGTCATTTAGTTAAAAAAACAGTATGCTTGTGCTTGTGCACATACATCAGATATTTTATGTACAATAAGGAATGGGGAAAGGGTAAATGAAAGAATAGAGAAAACTACACTGTAGTAGTCAGGATGTGGTGGAACCAAAGTGCAGTTTTCTAACTGAGAATGTATTCTTGGTCTATAAGAACAGAGTTCTGGAGTAGAGTTGTTGCAGGTTCCCTTTTTTGCAGACACTGCCTGTCTGCTGCCAGAACACGTCAAATGTATCTTCATCCTCCATTTCCAACTGTGCAGGTGTGTCTGTTTCATTGATTGACTGTCCATCAAATTGGAATCTGATCTGCCTCATTGACAACTCTTTCACAATAGGCTTTCATTAGTTTACTAAATTGTGTATGCCTCTCAATCTTAAACTGCCCCACAGAACCATCCTGCCCTGCCACCTTCAAATTAATGTGATCGTTGTTCTCCATCTTGACTCCTTCCTTGTGCTTTTCGTGGGCCATAGCAAACACCCGAGTCTTCTTAGCTGCCACTTCACAAAGAGGTACCAGGTCCGCACTGAATGAGCACACAAGCATGATCATTTTGTTTCATTATAATTGTCTCTCTAGTTTTATCTGCCTTGAAATCACCAAATATGTTACTGATCCATTTTGTCACCTCCACTGTTTTCCTTTCAGATAGTTTGGCTGTGTGGCTTTTAATTTCTTCCTAATCAATGCTCCCTGGATCAGTTTTGGGGGAATTAGGAGCTTTTAGAGGCCTTCTTTTCACATGTTTCTACTTTCATTTCTTTGCTTATTTTCTGTTCTGAGACTTCTGGATTGATTATAGTGGATAGCTTTGCTACTAGTATGAAGACCTCTTTCATTACTGTCTACTTTTCAGAGATATCGTCTAGGCATAGCTAACTATTGGCCCTTGCCTTTGTCCCAGGATCTAACCCTCCATTCACTTAGGAGAGAGGCTGTAGTAGTTTATTTGGCCCAGCATTCAGTTCTTCAGGAATGGGATGCTGCATTATTTGCTTCTCAGACAATACAGATATAGTGGTACCTTGATTCATGAACTTAATTTGATCCACAGTTCTGGAGAAGATGGCCACATTCATGTTCATGTGGAAGATGGCCATGGTCATGTTCATCACCTGATGTGGAGTTTATGAATGAAAGCTAAATTTTGCTGAATGTTTCAAGGTTCTGAGT